TTGAGAAAGAGAGTATGGATATCGATTTTAAGTGCATTAAAAGCTTCAAACCTTGGTTGTACAAGGTTGTTGGGTTGTACAAGGTTGTTGGGAGTATTCATGGCAATGGCAATGTTGTAAATACTTGAAGATGATGAGGTTGAGAGAGTAAAAATGCCATTTTCGAAAAAAAATTCAAAAAACATATAAATGGCATTTTTGTAAATAAAATGAAGATGTGGGGTGAATAGGACAAAAACAAGATGAGTCAAAAGAAGAGGTTAGTTTTGTGTTTGACTTGGAGTTTTGAGTCAAATTTGCAAAAAGCCCTAATATATATATTGATTCTTCATCCAAATACTGAAGTCAAACTAACTTTTATGTTAAATTTAGATATTTTGGCATACATTACTTAAATTTATATGTTATCTTCATCAAAAAAACACTTAGGAAGTGTCACTATTTTTCCCCGGAGAAAAAAACTTGACTTTACTATTTAAGATATATTATTCTTTCTTGTAGATTTTGAGAAAAATTAAAATAGATGAATTTTAAAATTTCAAAAATAAATTATCCAAATCCGATCTGAACAGAACCCTAACCGAATTTTATAAAACCCAAATAGATTGAACTGAACCCGAATGACACCCCTAGTTGCCATAACTTTTTCGTTTTGATGAGAGTTTAGGGGGGTATGTAAAGCTTATTTCTTTTTGAAACATATACGTAAAATCTAGTATAACTAATCAATGGTTAGTAAAATTAATAAATGCTTCTATTTTCTTTATTTGTTTGGTTAGTAGAATCCCCAATTCACATTATTACATTTTGAACGTGATAGAAAGTGCATAAAATGAACCAAGGCAATCTTTTAGAAAGAAGTTGGAGGAAATTTGAAACTGAGCATGAGTTGAAAAACAAAGCATGAAATGAGCTGAAAAACTGAGCATGAAATCAAAAACAAAGCATAAATTTAAATGACTCTGGTGTTGATTTCTCTATCAATGATTTCAGCTGCAGTGAAAGGAGAGAAACCCATCGAAATTAATACCCCATCTCCACAGTTCATTCCACAAACGCACATATTTTTTGGCCCTGATGTATTAATTAGGAAACCTAATTACTATTACTATTACATATGGGGTCTGGTTGTACAATGCTCTCTAAAAATATGGTTATTTTTCAAAGATTACAATATAGCTTTCTCGTCGTGTTCTCTTAGATGGATAAAATATTTCTTTAACTATACTCAAATTGAAACAAACACAAAGTTAGATAGACAAAGTTTCCTTGGTATTGAAGCAGAATCGTCTGCTTTGCAGTTTGTCTCGAGACCAAATACGGTTGCTTCAAATGTGTTATTGCATTGCTTTGGTGATGGCATTAAGGAAGAGCTCTTGTACTCTAGTAACTTTTCTTGTTTCCCAAAACATGATATGTAGGTAACAGTTCCTGTTTTTTCAATCTCTAAATACATGAACCATTGGACAAACACCATATGAATTAAACTACATCAGATAATCTTCATGATACATAGGAATAATACTCTTTTTGGATCCGCTCATGGAGGCTTTTTTAAGCTTCCATATGTAACCTACTAACCTTGGACTTTAAGTGATCTCAAAGCTCCTGGTAAAGAGTGACAAAGTTAACATATAAGTAACACAATAACAATCATGATTTTAAAATCTAGGAAAGAAAGATTCCAAGTTTGTTATGAAGTGGAGCATAAAAATTCTTAAGTTTTCATGTCCAGACTACTTCACTTTTGAGGTTCTCCTGTGAAAAAAAAGAAATACAATTATACAAAGATACATGTCCTTTTTGTAGCCTGTTTGCCTTCAAGACGTTAACATTTCTAATAAGTGATTAATTCTCTAGAGGCATGTGTGGTTCATAACTCAAGGAAAGCACAAAAGTTTATGTGAAAGTATATACCAGTAGGTTTTGAAATCTCCAGTTGAAACCTTGTGGTTCTGTCTTTCCGTACATGACAATAAAAATGAGAAAGGATATAGACGAAGGGATTCTACAATGATGAGTCGTATGTACCTGCAGAAGCATTGAGCAAAGAATTCAATGATCGAAAAAACAGACCAAAAGAAAGATGTACGAAATAATTTATAAATTAACGGACTCTTGCTTTTTCAATGATTTATAAATAGGTGCACCTTCACCAAGTACAGTATAAATCTCAGCTTGAGCTTTCCTATTTTTTTCAGGATTCTGCAAGTTTAGAAGCAAAATACTAAATAACTGTACAATGAGCTTTTTAGGCAGTCGTGGAAAAAATGAGAATAAAACATTTAAGAACTTACTTGTGCAAGAAGGTTAGCAGCCCAAGTAAAAACAGCTGCTGTTGTCTCGTGACCAGCACTTATCATAGTCATCAAGTCATGAGTAAAGATGCAGTAAAGATGCAGGAGCTACTAAAGTCTGTGAATCCAAGAAAACAAAATAAAAAAAACTTTCATAACTTGTAGTAAAGATGCAGGAGCTACTGAAGTCTGTGAATCCAAGAAAACAAAATAAAAAAATTTCATAACCTTTAGTAGAGATGCAGGAGATAAAAGATAACAGATCCTTGAGATTAGAGTAGTCAGGTTGCTGGAGCTTCTCTACATCTTTTTCCTGGGAGAAACAGAGATAACAAAGTCAGAAACTGAACAGTAGAATGAAGAGAGCGGCAAGTAGTGAAACACCTGTCTTGTCTCTTTTTCCTTTTGAATGATTCCATCAAGGCAATCGTTTATAATCTTGAGATCGCTTTGCACCTTTCTTTGCCTTGGACCTATCCATCTGGCTGGAGGAAAGTTCCAATAGGGGAAGTAGAAAGTAGACCGATGCCCTGCCTCGGACAGAGTTCCATACACCACCTGTGATGTATAACAGAAACATTCAAGAAGGGACTGGACCAGCATGCTAATAGACAATTCCAATAAATAAAAAAACCTTAATCATAGGGGACTCTTTTGTGACAGAGTCAAAGTCGTAGTTGAACACACTAATCCGTATAATATCAAGAGCCAAACTCGAGAACTCTTCTTCAAGATCCAACTCAATCGTGTCCTCTCCACTTGAAGCTTCTTTCTTCCTTAAGAGCTTCACAGACTTCAGTATCAATTTCTCGGGTCAGTCACTGAATACTTAGACCATGGCTTCCAAATACAGAGATAGTCAATGGCCATAAGAACTGCAATAACTGAAACATAGTGAGATTAACAAAACAGCTTTACTTACCTCTGCGATGATTAAATCAACTACCTGTGTCTTTATGAAGGCAGTAGACTAATTATTTAGTAAAAAAAATTCATTATAAGAAAAGTAATTCATATATAAACCCCAAACACATTTTAAACTTACTTGGATCCAGGAACATAATCTGCTCGACAGAATTGGAGACGAACTGTGAAAATTATACCAAATAATTATTTTATGGAGTAAATACAGAGAAAGAAAATACTTGTATATTAGTGTTACTTTCATGCTGAAACAAATAAACAAACAAACATATCAAAACAAATAGACACGAAAGTATGTAACCTGAATAACAGTGGCATCATCGCTAGCGTTGTTCTCTATTAGAACTCTGTCAGTGACACATGAAAATAGTTAAGGCTGAAAATATTGTTGAGAAAGAGTTCCCCTTTTGCTGAGCAGTCGCGGAGGATGTCATAATCTTCTTGTTGGTCTTCTAGCCGGTAGGGACTGAGGATTTGGATTTGGGTTCCATCAGAAAGTTTGTGAGAGTGAGTAGAGGTTCTTAGAAAGCTTAATCGAAAGATAAGCTAAGAAGAGAGGCCTATAAATACGAAGTTGGAGAGGGAGGCGAAAGGAAAAACCCATTGAATAAGAGAAACTGAAGATTGATGAGATTGAAGCCAAGAATTGATTAGAAATGAAGGTGGGTTTGATTACTGGAAAAACTAAAGTGATCTCATCTGGGGAAGTCAAAAGGCGAGAGAAGAGATTGTTGTAGATTTCTCCGCATCGTAATCGGAAACCGTGACTCGGTGATAAAACAAACCGGGTTTTGGTCCAAAATCGAAATAAGATTTTTCAGGCCCAAACCAAAATGACTATCAAATAAAAAACCAGCCAGATCTCGCTGGCCCAAAATAAATCAATTTCTTCTATCCAAATCGTGATTCAGTGATAGAATAAACCAGAGTTTGGTCCAAATTCGAAATCAATTTTTTACAGACCCAAACCAATCTGACATAGCTGTTTAAAGCCTTATGATTGGTCAAATATAATTAGTGATGTGGATAGGGTGAGAGGACTTCATTTGCTACTTTTAATAGTGTTAGATGTACCTTATGATTCCAATAAGATTCAGATGACTTTATTAGAGCAAGAAAAAAATAATGTCGGGAAGTTTTTTTTTCCTTTTGCATAGAATATGAATTGCATTACTTGAATGGGCGGTTTGGATTTTAAAAAGTATTTAAGATTTATCAGGAACGAGCTCCATGGCAAAATAAGAGAAACGTGGATATAACCTAAAATACATTGTGATAGAAGATCACTTTGCTGTTAAGTGAAGGTTAACTGTTCCGTAAGAATTTTTTTTTAACTCACCAGAAGGAAGCTTTAAGACTGCATCAACAGGCGACTGGTGTGCCTCCCATTAATCAACAACCTGACCATTTCTCCATCGTTTCAGAGTTCTTCAGAGAAATAAAACGAAAACAAATAAGTTGAGAACTTGTCTTACACTACACAATAGTAGAGAGCCGTCTCATATTCGATTTAATACGTCTATTACAAAAGTTATTAATGCACGTCAAGACAATAACACACAAAGTAAACATTCTTAGACCTACACTTAAGAGTAAAATAGTTTCAATAACAAAGGAAAATCACAAGCTAGTATTCACTCTCTGGATTTCAAGCAGGGAAGGCAAAATGACTGAACAATTTCAATTTCTAAGTAATCATACTAAGTAAAGAATTACTTGTCAGCTGAAGATGAAACTATATCCTCCCCACCAAGAGCAAGACCAGTTACTTACATCTTATGACCTTTCAACGTTTAAAAAATTTCTTCATTGGCCAGGTACCAAACGATGACTGAATTATCCATGCAACCAGATACAAGTCTGCCTTCAGGGTATGCATCATTTGGGAAGATCCATGGAAGCATTCTAACGAAGTTTTTATGATGTGGAAGTCTTGGAACACAAGCACATACGCTTATCATCGGAAGAAAGTGAACATTTCCTTATGAACATGTCATGTGATGATGATATGGCTTTCGTATCATTAGTGTACACACATATTCCACGGACCTTATAGCCAAATAGGGTAAGGCCAGTTACAAGACCTAGAATCTTCAATGTCATAAGGTTAATCAGAAAGCTAATCAAAACAAAGCGTCAAATAAAAAAATACATGAAATTTAAGCAAAACGCGTAAAATTCAAGTGGATGAGTTAAAAAAAAATCGATGACAGAAGAAAGAAGGTGGAAATAGAGTAAAGGAGGAAGTGGATTAAAGAGAGACATCTTACATCGTCAACATGGCTACGGAGTTCGCACATGTTTACTCTATGAAATAGACATCCATCATGAGTTTGAGAACGACCAGAAAGTACTAGATATGGAATATCATAACTACCTCTACAGAATTATGCAACTAAATTGTAGAAGTTAGGTTTAACAAGAGGAACTCGAAATCTAAGCAATGTTTCTGATAAGATTTGACAAAGATCATATTCGAGAGTCAACACACATGTACTTGGACTGAAAGGATATATGATTTTTTTTCTAGAAGATAAATATGCCTGAAAGGCTTGACATGCAGAAGTTGGAAAATAGATATGAGATGAAGACATTTGAATTTGTACCTAGAAAAGTTTCTATGGCCTGTGAATTTGTTTCTAAGAAAATGAAATCCTTCTTTCACCAATTGTTAGATCATTTGGTATTCAAGTTAGAGATTAGTTGGATCAAGAAATTAAAAAAAAAATATATATATATTAGGTATGCCGTTACATCTTGTACGATATCATAGCTATCACTGGTTCTATTAATTTCCTGATGCCAACAACATTGATAATTATGTACCTTCTGTTCTAATAAGATCATCCGACTTTATTGCAACACGAAAAAAACAAGGTTTTTTTTTTTGGCGAAGAATCTGAATTGTATTAATTGAATGCGCGGTTTGCATTTTTTAAAAATGTTTAAAATTGATCAGGAACAAGCTCCATGGAAAAAAATACAAAACATGGAGATTATCTAATATACATTGTGCTAGAATATCACTTTGCTGTTAAGCGAAGGTTAACCATTACCAAGAAGATTTTTGAACTAACCAGAGGGAAGCTTTATGACTGCCTGGACAGGTGACTGATGTGCCTTTTAGTAATCAACAGCCCAGCCATTTCTTTACCGTTTCAGAGTTCTTCAGAGCAAGAACACGGAAAAAATTAGTTGAGAACTTGTCATATACTACACAACAGTAACAACCATCCCATATTCTATTAAATACTTGTATTACAAAAGTTACTAATGTACGTCAAGAAAATAACGCACACAATTAACACTGTTAGACCTATGTTTAAGAGTATACACATAATTTCAACAGAAAAAAGCTACATGCTAATATACTATAGTTGGATTCAATCAAGAAATACAAAATGAGTGAACAGTTTCAATTTGTAAGTAATCATACTAAGTAAGGACTTACTTATTAGCTGAAGATGAAACTATGTCCTCCCCCATCAAGAGCAACACCAGTGACTTTCATCAAGAGCAACACCACAGGCTAGTATACACTCACTGATTAATTTCATAGAACTTCTTGATGTGGTCATGTGTTTCTTAAGGTTGAGAATTGTTCCAGTGAAGTGAAAGAAAAATTATTCAGTGATAAACTGATGGGGCGAGTTATTAATCAAATGGGTGATCAAAACATTGTATAAGTAATCAGTGATAATGCACATGTATGGTGACTAGAGATCTTATCAATAGTAGGTTTCCTCACATCAACTGGACACCATTTGTTGTTCATACTCTTATTCTAGCTTTGAGGAATATTTATGCAAAAAAAGAATGTGGAAATCAAGAAAAATATGAGTGACTCTTAATTACTTAATTTCATGGGGATGCTCTTGCAATAAAACACTTCATCATGATCCAAAACATGAGTCTAGCAATTTTCACTTTAACATAACTTCCGGTTGATGATACATGTTTTGCCTCAATCGCTGTGATACTCAAAAGTTTAAAGCTTGTCAGAAGGAGTCTTCAAGCCATAGTTATAAGTGAAGAGTGCGCTATTTACAGAAATGATGATATTGAGAAAGAATTTGTTTTTTAAGAGAAGATTTTAAATGATGATTAATGAGAAAATAGCCTTACATTATCGATTTCACAAGACGTATATATGAGATGATTAGATTCTGTGACACATACAAACCATGTATTCACTTGTATATGGAATGTGAGATTATATGATTAAAAATGAAATTTTATGATCTACAAGAAAGGAAAACGTCCAATATCTAAATTCTATTTTTATGGTGTTATTTATGAAAATTTGGTAGTCCACCGGATGAAGACTAACATTTTTTACATTGTCCAGATCAATTTTAATTCCAATGTATAATATAAGATATGTGATCTGTTTTATTTGATGTGATTTTATTTTTTTATTTTTTTATTAGATATACACATATTTTTTAGTTTTTAGTGATGAATGGCCAAATGAAAATTTTGCAAATTGTTGTCTATATTTGATGTGGAAATTTTACGTGAAATGATGAAGCGATTTTTAATATTGTTTCTAATCGATGAAGATAATAAAGAGTTATAGATGAATATGCATTATTATCGATGAATAGTTGTCTTTTTGAAATTTAGCATTCATTTCAATGATGTCTACTATATAATCTCATAGTTGGTGGACTAATTTTGGTGGTTAAACTCTTCTACTTTAGTCTTTAACTTTTAGGTTACTATAACAGCCTAGTTCATCTTCATGGAATCATGGAATGAGCGTACTCACTCATTCATTCATTTATTGAGAAGAAAAAGTTAAATGTAAGTTGTGCTCAAAACTTTATTTTCATCCATAACAACCTACAACTTTTATTAAGAATTCTGACCAATATAAAACTAAAAGTCTAATATGTGAGATGTTAGTGGAGTGGATTTGATTCTATGGAAGATGAGGATTCTGAGAGTTTGTTTACCTCTCACTAGATGAAGCAAATTTTGAAAATAATCTACTAACTGATTAGCTTATTTCCTTATTTCTAATATGTTGAACATATGTGTATTTAATATTGAAACTTATGTTTGAGATTTAATATTTTGAATTATAAATATTCTTATGTTTTCCTATATTTTTTCTTATGATTTATATGTCATTTTATAACTAATTTTTTTCTTTGTTGTATTTTTTCCCCAGTTCATGCCGCAGTAGTATGGTTTTGTGAACGAATTTTCTATTGATCGACAAAACGGGACGAGCATAATTATTAAGTTGAGAATATTCTCTAAAAAATCAAAGCTGTAGTGTTTGTTCCAACGCTGGTTCATAGTTCATGGGGGAGCCCATTAGCAGTTGATTTATGTTCCTTAAACATTAATTTTATTAGTGT